ACCGGACCACTTCTAATCCATCTAGTAGTTGGGCATCCCATTGTTGCATATATACGCTTCTCCTTATGATTATGTCCATGAAAAATGAAAAGAATGTTGTAGTGAAAGTCCAACACAAATGAAGCATCCAACATGACCATAGATAATTACACAATCTTCGCAGGTAGAATACCGGAATAATGCTCTGCACAACAACCCCGTCATGTTAACCTCCGTAACAATCATCCAATAATACTGCGGTTTTAGCAAACTATTCACGAACCCTAGACTAGAGAATAGTTTGCAAAAAATATTGTAAATTGTTCTCTAGCCTATGGTTTGCAAGTAATTTGCTAAATCATATTCTCTTTTTTGATCAGAATGAAGTTTGTCGTTTCCACATTACTTTTGAAGAAGGTTTGATTTGAATACTTTTTTTGTGAGGATGGTGAAAGGTTTTCTCATCGTATCAGCTGTTGTTTGTGTATGTTTTGTGCTATGTCCGTGAAGAAAATACTTATATGGGGCATCACTCATTCTATTCATTTTACTTGTTTTAGTTTTAATCTTTCATTTTGATCCACTTATCTTTCATTTTAATAAACGTACCTGAGAATTCTTCCATTGCAATAGATACATCAGAAGCTCATGTTCAGCGCCCATGCAAATAAATTGTCACTGCCCATGTACAAATAAATAAACTAATAATGTAAAAAAATCAGCTGAATAAATCAGTAACAGTTGGGTAAATTAGATTTGTGGATAATAAAATGGAATAGAGAAGATCAAACACTTCTACTTTCATTCGTTGAAATAGAGAAATGCAAAGGTATGCAAAGGTGTTTGTTTTCTAATAATGTTTCATTTAGATGCAGATTTAAAATTTCTAACCTTTGTTGGATTCATTCTTTTTATTAATTATCCTCCCTGAACTACAAACCTTCATTAAATATGCCATTTTGTAAGTAACCGTAAACGGTAGCCAAAAAACTATTAACAACCGATTTAGAACAATATTTTTGATATCATCAGCAGAAGCAATGTTCTGGATAAACCAAATTCAGTGAGAGAATATAATTTCCTCATCTGCTGCCTATATGGAATTTCAAGATTCTAAATCAGATTTACTAGTTCCAAAAATTTTCGAGAAGTATTTCATTTCTTATATGCAATTTCATATATTCTCCTATATTTAGCAATTAGTGTATGCCGAACTGTACAGAACAAATTTTGTATCACCACATCTATACGATATAAGAATAAAAAGATCACCAATAAGTTATAGTAACTTTTCTCCACTGGGCAGTTCGAAACATTACTACAAGCTTTGAATGAATGGTATTCATTCCTCTCTATAAAATCGAATGTGACCTGTGTTACGTCTATCCAAAGCCATCATTTTTATCAAGTTTTTATCGCGATTATGGATGGACAAAAAAGAACGTTTTCAATAAGATAACCAATCCTTTATATCAGATCTTCACAGCACAACTTTATCAAACATGCTGTGTTTTCAGTTATCACATTGACAAAACGAATAGTTGATAGGCGAAACTTTTCTTTCTTCCTTTCTCACTATCCAAAGTATCTCTAAGAAGGAATAATGTAGCTATTCACATGGTTTTAAGTACAAACCGTTGAATAGATGATAAATGAATAGCCATTCACTTTATTTTATTCCTCAACTTGTTTTCAAACCTTGGAATTCCTCATTTTTTAATCTTAAAATCTTATGAGGCATTATATGATGATTTACATAGTGTAACTGTTAAATAAATTAGTTATTGTAAATTGAAAATTGAAAAGATACTCTTACAATATTTATTAAATTCCTGTTAAATGAACATTTTACCAATTTCACATAAACCTATTACTGATTTTGGTGATATTAGTATTTGAAATCTTCCCTTAATTAAATGACCGACCACTTTTTGTTTAGGTAGTGTAAATGTAAGCCAAAAATCACTGTACATGAAATATCTGAAAGAGGTTACAAACGCTATTTATCACACCGTTTAATCTGATTGATAATTAGCCTCTCAGTCCATGAAAATTTATCTTCCAACAGTCCTTTCTTGTAAAATAGCATATTATTAAATAAACGTATATTTCAATAGAATTCCTTCGTGTTTATGAACAAAGGTTTTTTTTCTTAGATAAGTGGTGCGTATAATGATAGAGTATTATACTTTATCTTTTTCGATGATACTGTTCTCCTCTGTATATTACTGTCGATCCTCGATAAGAGTTATTTTATTTTGCATGTTATCATTTATCGAGAAAGTTGCATATCAGTCACCTCAAATTATCAATTTTTTATTTTAAAGATACACTTCTAGTTCCAGTTTCGTATTCATCCACTACTAATTGGTACGAATACTGCATCTAGAAATTTCCGAGAACTTCATTATGGTGGTAGACCATTCGTTGTGTTTTGGCTTCCAGTGCAGCTCGATCTTTCTTGTGTCGCATGTACTGTTCAAGTTCCTAAATATTAATTATTACTTGAGAGCTATGTATAATAACAAAAAAAAATTTGCGAAAATGTCATACCCGCGTGCGTTGTTCAATTAGTTCATCAATTTCCGGTTCTCTGTGATGCACATTCTCGGCTGAATTATCTTCACTTTCGTTATGCTTTTCCTCAAAGAATATTGATTAGATAAGGAATGGTATTTTAATGAGTTTAATACCGCAGTAATTGGAACAAATTTATTAAAAGGTCAAAAAACAAAAAATCAGCTTACTTTGGCTGGGAAAAGCTCTAAATATGCTTCATGCCATATATCGCGAGCACTCGTAGCTCCAATAAGCGATAACGATGAGTTGGTAAGAGGAGGAGCTCCAATATCCTGGAGATACTTTTCACTGATCATTTAAACTTCATCAGGCTTTCGTGATTCTTACTTAAGCCTGTATTTCAGTATTAGCCTTAAAGCCATTTTGAAGCGCTTCCCTATTCTCCTCTTTCTAAATTTGAAAAAAAGCGAAGATGATACTGAACCATTAGCGAGTCGGCACCGCGCGGTATTGATAATGGCTTGTTGTGATCAGTGCAGATCGTTTTTGGAGCTGCAGTGCCGAAAACAACACTACTGATAAGAACTCGAACTCTAGTTATCAAGTCTTCCATTTTGCTGCTGAACATCTGCATTATATATCGTAAACTGTTAGAAAATATTTTACTAATCAACTTTCCAGTCAATTATAAAACTAGTTTATCAAATGCGGTTCTTACATAAAGATCATTTTTTTTTAATAATAATAGGTACCAAAAGATTTAAACTTATTTATGGAATGACACATACATGAATAAGTAAATATAAATGTACCGCAAGAGTGGCTCCATTCATATGTGCCATGAAACGAAGGATTTTGCATATATTTTTCCGTTGTTCAGGTTCGAAATCCTGCAATCAAATCATTAATTCTTATGTCAAACGATACCTTCCCTTCATAATCGTTTTCCACCTAATGCTCAGGAAATAATAACAACCTGAAATTCGTCGTATTTCGCACCGAGTAGAATTAATGGTATCGGGAAGGGATCAATATATTCCGCATCCTAAAATTATTGTAGTAATCGAACTATTTCGTCTAAAACACATGCTTAGATTGGAAGCCTTTAAAAATCGGACCAATTTACTTTCGCATTTTCGCATTTGGAAGGCTTTAAAAATCGAACCAAATTACTCCTAAAGTCTACTATCACTAATTTGCTGATTAATCTGAATATTATATGTTAAAATTTCTGCGACCTGTAATTGTGTAACTATTTTTTAGCGCACTGAAGTTTGAAGTTGGCGTATTTTTTGGCTAGGACATAACAATTTGTGTGTAATTATTCCAAGAATATATTCTTGGGAATCTTTCCTTGCAATAAACTTTCAAAAAAGCCTTTAGGGGGGTTCAAGTAGATAGATACCTTATGCTCTTTAAAAGCTGCCTTCTTATCAACCAAAAATGCTTCATAACTATCGGATGAGCTTCTAATAAACTGTTGCATCGCATTATCGACGATTACACGAGCATTGTCCAGTAAGTTATAAAATGTATGCCACATATCATAAGGTGCAGTTAGGTCAATAACAATCATTATAGAGCACTGTCTAGAAAAAAAATTATTTGAATATCAATACAGATATGTTTAAACAAGAATAGAAACATCACCGGGAAGTTCCTAGAGTTAAACAATCACTGTAGTAACAGTGAGAGAGAATATAAACTTCGTTGTAAACGTTATACCAAAAAGCGAACTGCTATTTTAAATATATGGATGATAAGGCCTTGTATTAATTACTCGTACATGTACAATTAACAAGAATACTCTTACGACTACCACTTACTGTATGTAATTGCTGGAGAGCGGTATTTGTAGAAGATTGCAGAGGTTTGTTCCGCCTCCTAACTCCCATATGTGTGCAACGTCTTTCAACTGCAATTCTTCAATTTAATAATAGTATAATTACTAATATTAGCGAGTATCAAATTTGCTTATATCATTGATAGCACGTCAACGATCTCCCGAATATTAAATTTGCGAAGATAGATTAAACTGTAAAAGAGTTACTAACATTATGCATAGCGCTGTGAGAAAAAAGTATAACAATACCTTTCCTCGATTCCGTCGTCCATATGTGTACTCTAATGCAATGGTCGGTTTTGCGTCCTCATTTCGATTCAAGAATCGTAATATCATCGATGTCTTTCCCTGAGAAAGAAATTATTACCCCATTTTTATATAGAACTAATATTTAGCATCGAAAAAAAGAAGTTCACCTTTCTCATATTAGCTCTTAGCCTAGAGGCAACCTTGAAAAAAGAATTGGAAGAATATAGATATTAACTGCAGAATCCTTGTTCTTTACCTGACGGACAGCTTTCGCTTCCATTTAATTTTGAATAGATTTATGAACAAAATTCCTTCCTTACTAATCGAGTAAACACTATGAACATATAGGAACTTACGCAATTCTTACTTCCACAAATAACCAAACGAGTATCGCTCGTTTGTGAATCGCTTTCTATAAGAAAAATGAGCCATAATATACAAATTTTTTTAAAGTGAAAATATCTCTATCATAGCAGTTTCTGTTTCCGTCACCATGTTGTTCCGAACTATAATGATTATCAAATACTCTCTCCAACTTCACACATACTTTTATTTTTAGTGCTTGTGACAATCTATGGCTGAACTACACTGAAAAAGTCACTTTACAAATATCTAAGGCTTTTAATGATAAGTGTTTTCAATTTATTCAGTCTGATTCTTAACTAATTGAATTATCCATTAGCCATAAGTTAGCAGCTATTATGCTGAAATACTAATCAATAAAATACCGATAAAATTGGCATATGAAGTAGCAGTTTCCTGCTGTCGCATGGTTCGTTTCCGAGATTCCTCTAAATATTGTTGTCGTGCCAATGACCAGATGTCTAACATGATCCTCAGTTCACTTTATCACTTTCTTCCTTGCAGCAATAAAATCAATGTCGATAAACTCCAATTACTCTCGGAATTGACGATGAGAACTGATAGCTTTCTCGTTACCATGGTAGTAGTAAGCCTGCATAGTAATTGCTGAACATCGACAAGGCTAAATTTCTCTTTGATTTATGGAAACTACGACTAACCGGCAATTGTGAGATATGCTGATATTTGAAATAGAAGAATTAATAGAAGAACAAATAAAAGAATTTGTACGAGGTATAATGAGCGGAATCACACAGGTGTGTAAACTGCAATGGACGGTGTAAAATAGACCGAATGATGCCTAAGATGAAAATTACAGTGTTCGTGATTTAGTCCCATAGATATGACAAGAATGTATGGAGAAAACTTCCTCGCATCCTCAGAAAAAAAGCATTCAAATAAATTTTTCCCGAAAATAATTGTTGCTGAAACGATAAATTTCACTCAGACTAAAACAAGTGTTACTGTCATCCAGTGGAACAGTCATTGCAAATTGTTCTTCAGCCCAATGTTTGCAAGCAGTTTGCTAAAATGTTATTTGACAAAACATTATCGCAGTATTTTACCTGCGAGGATTGTGTAATTGTCTATGGTCATGTTGGGTGCTTCGTTTGTGTTGGACTTTCACTACAACACTCTTTTCATGTATTTTCATGGACATAATCATAAGGAGAAGCGTATATATGCAACAATGGGATGCCCAACTACTAGATGGATTAGAAGTGGTCCGGTAGTTGAC